ACTTGCCCCCCCCCACCCCACCCCCCAAAAAATGTAATGCGACATGACATGAATATACTTTGTAATTCAACGTAATGTAAAATGTAGTGGAGTAAAAGTAAAAAGTACCCATTATGAAATCTACTTAAGTAAAGTACAGATACATGAAAAATTTACTTAAGTACAGCAACAAAGTACTTAGTTACATCCCACCACTGGTCTTATCTTGTTCTACTTTAAACAGAACAAAGAACTTATCTGAGCTGTGATATCATTGTTATAGCAGTCATGTGCACTCACTTGACAGGGGGACACACATCTGTTTTTCCTGTGGTGGCCATACTGACTAAAGGCATCAGAGCTTCATTGGTGATAAGCATGTGCACGCTCTTAACTCAAAGTTAAGGTACTCAGAGTTAATGAACCTTATAGTAATCAGTCATTCTGGAGGTGAAAACAAACAGAACTTTCCTTCTTTTACTTAGATAACTTTAATCCTGACTTATGGATGAAAGTTAATTTCTGTTCATCAGAACTTACTTGTTGTAAAACTGTCTGCAGGCTTTTCTCCTCCTGGTTCACTCTCTCTGTCGGCGACATCCTCAAAGGTGATAAATACACCTGACATCATTTTTCTTCTGTATAATCATAGAAACAGTACTGAGGCTTTCGGGGTGATGGACCAGGGCTTGGATTTGGGACCATTTAGACAAACTACAGGGACAATGTCATGTGTTGTTCTGATATTTTGGTAGCTCCACATTCCTTGTAATAAAAAATGGCTGATTGCAAAGCCAGAGCAGCAGCTTTCAATGTGATTCCAGGAAGTTCAAGACAAACCTTGATAATGTTATAAAGATAAGATAGGACTTGACACTCAGCTTATGCAATACTCAAAGACAGATTACAGAATTAATCATTTTTATGGTCAACATTTCAGCCAAAACATTGTATTATAAGTGTTATAAAAATAAGTCCCATTTTCCTTTCCTGTGTCATCATTGTACCTTTGGTTTTTAAGTATTTAATTTTATAATATCCTGCAGTCCTATAAAAACAAGACAGCCTTTGCCTGATTATAAAAGATCTATTCTGACCTAGGGCTGGGTAAAAAAAAGATTTAACTGATCTTGGATCAATTTCATTTGAATTTGGGAAAGTCGATTCACAGGACATGAGATCGATTCTTCCCCATGGCGTCTTATGGTAAATGGTAAACGGACTGTGCTTGTATAGCACCTTTCTATCCATCCAGGACACTCAAAGCTCTTCACCATCTGTGTCCTCATTTACCCATTCACACTGCACTCTATTAGGTCTCTACAAAGCTAACATGTACAATCATCTATGGAGACTAATCAGTGCCAATCACATCCATACACTGATGGGACACACATCAGAGGCATTAGGGCTGAAGTGTCTTGCCCAAGGACACAACAGCTGATACAGCTGGACGGGGGATCGAACCGGTGACCTTGTGGTTCCAGGACAACTCCCCTAACCACTCTGCCACCCCCTAATAATCTATAAATAAATATAGATCATCATGAAGCTCTGTTCTGCAATGAAACCATAGTGATTTGTAAAGAAACATTTCTCCTGCCGCTAGTCTGGTGGAGCTGTGTGGGGTAGGTGTGATCTGGGGTGGAGGCCATTTTGAAATGTGCTAAAAAAACCTGAAAGCTGCCACAGCCACATTGCTATGATCACAATAACCTTTCCTGTAATAACCAGCAGTCCTCCCTCTGAGTGGACCGAATGTCTGCCCTAGGTCCATCGCCTTTTATTGGTGTACCCTGCCTGTGAACAAACTGTAAATAATTTATTATTTTCTTTGTTTTAGAGTGCAGGAAGAGCGTCAGTCAACAGAGGAAAGCACTCCTCTCCTGAGTGGATAAAAACATCAGTTTTTACTGATGTTTCACGCTTCATGACTAAACTTGAATTTTTTTTTGTTTAGAAGAATGAACAGAACAGTAGGGTTTTCAAGTGCAGTGAGGACTGTAAACATGTGGAACCAAATTGTGTCTTCTTGATTTTCGACCCTTTGCTTTGACTTGACTTGGATTTTATATGTAAAGCAACTTGTCTGTTTGCACTTTCCTGGAAATAAACAGCAACACATCAACCGTATTTGTTTGACTTGTATTTCTATGTAAACCAATACATAAAACCCCAGACCTCTGTCCCCCTCATAGCTCTGAAAAAAGGTGAAAGCTGCTGGCAGTGGCTCAATATGGTCACTCCCTGACTGCCAAGTTGATGAGAGGCAGACAGAAGTCGTGTTTCCATCAACGTTTTTTTTAATGCGCATTTTGAAGTATCGCATCAGAAAAGGTGAATGGAAAAGGCACGATTCGAAAAAACTTCCTGTAATTCACAAAAACAGTTGATACGCTCGCTTGAGGTGGTTTTTGGTTTTATCGAAAAAGAGTTAATGCGCTAAAAGAGAGATGGAAACACATTTGTCCAATAAGTTCCGACGTATCGAACATTTACCTCACATGTTGATCAGCTGTTCTTGCTATGTGAATGGTACCGGTGATGTGCGAAATTCAGTTCCCCTGTGAAAATCTGTTCCCCCTACTGGTTAAAGAGTAACTTACCCCAAAATTAACTTTTTTTTTAGCTGATAAACTGTCTAGAATGTATCTAAAATGTTATATAGTACTGTTTCTGTGCTAATTTTGATGTTTTTGTGCGTATTTGT